TCATCAAAACTCATCGACGTGTGAACATGAGCAGTTCTTCTGGACACAGTTGTCATTGTTGCTGTTTGTTGCTGGATGTCAGTTCTGACCCAGGGAACCCAGGTACAGCAGGATGGAACACTGCCTGGTCTTCGACCACCCTCATCACTGTGATGTTCAAGTTCATGGTCGCAGTCACTGCACCCATTCATCACGTCGAGGGTCTTCCTCTCTTTCACCAGACCCTCTACTTTTCCAAGCATATGATGTCCTTCTCCGAGGACTGGTCCCTCCTGACATGTCCAAGGTAAGCGGGAGAGAGCTCACATCTTCATTTCTAAGGAGCGCCCTAGCTACAGTTACTTCTTCCAAGACCATGGTACATTCGGTGTTCTTCATCCACACCGTAATTTAAATGCATCAGTTCTTCCACTAAGGTCTTCCTTAATCTTGGTCCGTCTCTCATGTGGCAGTCACCTAACCTGGTGTCAATTTAAGGATTAAGAGTGTAAGCGATGGAGTCTGGCCTGTCAATCTGGAGACAGCCAATGAGACTTCTGTGTGGGCGTGGCCTTTCCCTGAGAATCCTGGGAAATCTGGGACTTCGTCCTTGGGGGCAGAAGACACCTCTCTCTCTGCTACTCCCTGGGAGACACTGCAGAAGACAAGCCACATGGACGCAACCAGACCTCTGAAGCCGGAGAAGCCACAGACAGACCCCTGCCAGCACTGAGATGCTTACAACGCCACTGGACCCAAAGACTTCCTACCCACTGGCTTGTGATCGTCCTGCATTTGGCTTCATTGCATGTGTTTCGTGAGTCTGAAGAGGACTTTATTGATTGGTATCGCATATATGGGCTAATATCAGACTTATGGCCTTGGACTGGACTGGGTTGGGATGTTTTCTCAATGTCCAATTGCTCTTGTATATAAATCTCTTTCTTATATACATATGCGTGTTTGTGAATTTGTTTCTCTTGTCTACCAGACTAACACATCTCACATGCCTATGAGGCGACTAAAAACACTGTGGCTTGGGCCAGGGACACCTTAGTGATATCTTTGCTTTGTGGGCACTTTAAAGAGGCTTTTTCACAACAGATTTATCTAATCCAATACATCGTTTGATTTCTTGACTGCTGCATCCATGGGTGTTGAATGGGGATCCAAGTAAAATGAAATTGTTAACAACTTCAATGTGTTGCTTATTGGGCTGGTTGTGAGGATTTGGGTGTCTATGTGTTGAGGGAGGAGCCCTGGTGAATCAGTGGGTTAAGCGTCTGATCGCTAACTTCAAGGTCCAAAGTTCAAACCCCCTCACCACTCTGTGGGAGAAGGATGATGATGTGCGCTCCTAGCAAGACGTGTAGTCTTAGAAACCCTAAGGAGCAGTTCTACCTCATCCTATAAGGTCACTGTGAGTCCGAATGGGCTCAGTGGTGCTGGGGTCACAGTGGCTTTGATGGGGAACTCACAGGCAGGGGTTGTCGGGTGCCAAGAGTGAGAAAAGCCCTCTTCCCACCCAAGGAGAAGGGATGGAGGAGGAAGGCTTCCAAAAAGGAGGTGATCCCTGGGGTAAAGACTCACAGGGAGGAAGCCAACCGAAGAAAGATGGGAACATGCCTTTTTCTCACCAACGCAATTTTAATTTTCTTAAAACCTCCTCCTAAAAAGTCTTCACGGTCACCCTGTGCTCTTCAAGAAAATCTACAAAGCAAATCCCTTGGGACTCCCCAAAACGCAGTTGTCATAACCTGCTGAGCTGACCTCTCTGCTTTGAAATTTAACTTATGTAGCAGATCTCCTTGCAAGCCACTGTTTGGATTGCATGGATGGATCTAAGGGGAGAGAACTGATGGCTATAGGAACAGCATGTGGAATGGCTCAGAGGTGAGGTCTTGCTCATCAAATTCGGGCAGCAGCCAGGAGGGTGTGGTGGAGGTGGTAGCTGAGAGAGACCAACAGGGGCAATCCCTAGTTATAAGCACTGGGGGTGGATATGGTCCAGACCCACCTTGGCAAAGCCTCTCAGACTCTCCTGGGCTCCTCTGGCAGCACGCGGCCAGGCAGACACCCAGCAGGGGTTCATCTGGCCTACAGGCTGGGGCAAGCAGTCGAAGGTAGGTTGCCCTTCCTGGGCCTGCCGTCCTTCTCTGAAGCTGGGAAGGTAGTGCTTCCAAGTCTTGCCTTCCGGCCTGTGAGAAGGGCTCCCACAGAGGCCACAGTGATATAAAACCTCAGAGAGGGATCCACAGGCTTAACCCTTGACCCGGTGGACCAGGTCCCAGGCCAGGCCAGGCCAGGGCTTCCATGCGGCGGGGCCTTCCCCAGCCAGGAGCTCTCTGGTCTCCCTGACACTGACAGGACACCTTAGTGCTTAGTGATATCTTTGCTTTGTGGGCACTTTAAAGAGGCTTTTTCACAACAGATTGATCTGACAGACACACTGGGATTCCCTCTGCCACATCTCTCCTTCTGCTGGGCCTGGCCTCAGGGTGAGTGAGTGTGGTCCTATGTAACAGACACTGCACAACCACAGGCTGAGCTCCTGCTGTGGGCCTGGCGCTCTGGATCTCTGCCCTGTGGGGTTCACATCCCAGTGGGGCAGGGGCTAGAGATGCATCACAGCGATGGCAGCCACAGTCAAGGGGGGCTTAGTGCTCGCCCTGGGCCCGCACTGCTCACAACCCCATGCAGAATGGAAGGAGGCGCTGTCAGCTCCCTCACCATCCTATCCCTATAGCCATTTGCGGACTGGATCCCAGTGAGGCAGAAGAAGTAGATCACCAGGCCTTTCTTCCTACTCTGTGTGAAAGCTCTGTTGACATCTCTTCAGTCTCGTACCAGCACCCAGCCTCCACAGGAGGTACACTGGCTGAAAATCTAACCTGAGGCTCCCCTCAAAAAACTCAGCGCCAGCAAGTCCACGTTGACTCATGGGGACCCTATAGGATAGGTCCGTGAGCTTCTGAGACCGCAACTGTTTATGGGAGGAGAAAGTCCTGTCTTTCTCTGGCAAGGCAGCTGGTGGTTTCTAACTGCTGACCTTTCCTGTAGTAGCCCAATGCGAACTCAGGGCTTCTAGGTCTCCCCTGAAAGGTGAGCATTATATCACAGAGCCACCAAATTATATCACAGAGTCAGCATTGCCCTGACTGGCTGAAATCCCACAGGAGTAAATGGAGGCAAAGGGAGGCCAAGTGACTTGCTCAAAGTCACACACTGACTTTGGTGGTGGAGCCAGGACCAATCAAAACTAGAAAACAAGTTGATATAGTTAAAGTTTATTGTGCCAACCTGGCTGATAAACACATGTGGGATTAATTAAAAGGCGGAGAGATAAATGACTCCATGAACCTCGCCGTGTTCTCGGGTCTCTTGCTTTCTGATGGTCAGACCAGGGTGCAGCTGCCTTAGCAGTTCCCTGCTTCAACTGGCAAGGCTCACTTCCTATAAGACATCCCCAAGGAGAAGCCACATGGACCTACCCCGATGCAGCCCTGGGTGCTGGAGCAACCGTGTGGAGACCCCTGCCAGCGCTGAGATGCTTACACATTCACGGATTCAGCTTTCCTCCTGCAGTCGGCGCCATTGCTTGTCTTTTGTGAGATGGAGGAGGACTTTGTGGATTGGTGTCGGACAAATGGGCTAATGTTGGACTTGTGGGCTTGGGCAGCACTGGGTTTGGATGTTTTCTTGATGTGCACTTACCCTTTATATAAAACTCTCTCTTACACATATGAGTTTCTATGGATTTGTTTCTCTAAGGGACCCAGACGAACACACAAATAAACTGAAATTCATCGGAGGTAAGAGATGGGGTGCCCTTCTGTTGACAGGTCATGGTGGGGAGGGCTACAGGGAAGACTACCTGCCCCCCCGGGGTTTCCATCTCAGCAGCTGGGGAGAAGGGATCAGAGACAGCCAAGCCTCGCAGGAGGCACCCTGGTGGCGTAGTGGTTACCCAATGGGCCACTGGCTTCAAGATGAGCAGTTTGAAACCACCAGACGAGAGTGTCGACTCCTCTAAAGAGTTAGTCTTGGAAGCCCACAGGAACAGTTGTACCCTTGTTTTATAGGGGTGCTCGCTGAGTCAGAATCAACTCAATGGCAATGAGTTTGGGTTTGTGAACCTCACACTGCACCCCCTAGGCCTCTCCCTATACTCAGTTTCCCCTCACCCTCCGCTCCCCAGAGACCCCAAGAAACATCTGCTCCAAGACTGGACAACTTTCATTAGTATGCATGCAGCCAGCGGCACCCCAGGACATAATGTCACCCCAGATCCAGAGGGAGCAGGAGGCCAAGCTCCCCACGGAGGCACCCCTCTCCCGGCTTTGGAAGGACAGACTGGCTTCTCTGCCTCCCCCCACAGCCCCCTCCACTGGCGCTCTCTGCTGGATGTCCCTGCACTGGGTGCCAAGTGCTCACCATAGGCCCCAGGGGAGAAGGTGGAGGGCAGACACCCAGAGCTGAAACCTGAGATCCCAGGCTCAGGGGTTGTGCAAGACAGAGGGACTGATGGGACCAGAGAGATCGCAGTCCCCTCGGGTGTTTGGGGAAGCGGTGTTTGGGGAAGCGGGCAGCCTGGACGCTGGCTGTTTGCTGTGAGCACGCATCCGGAAGTGTCTTCTTTTTCTCCCCTCTTGCAGGGAGGCCAGCCCCCCCTGGATGATCAGGTACCAGCGCTGAGGTGGGCAGAGTGAGGCCAGTGTGTGGATGGGCAGTGTGAGGGCAAGCGCGTGGAGGAAGGAAGGGAGAGAGGGAAAGAATGGTGGGGAGGGGTTAGGGGCAGGAGGCGGTGAGAGGAAGCTGAGCAGCTGTGGTATTTGCTGCGCGTATAAATAGCTGCCCAGAGGGCTCGGGCTCAGCTTGGTCATTCAGGCAGGGGTTTGCAGCTGCAGCGGCTCTGCAGGCGGGCCTGTCCGCAGGCGACGGTGGCCACAGCGGGCGCATCTGGAGCACAGGGCCTGGTGGTGGGTAGGCACAGCCCCTGGGGGCTCTGGCCAGACGCCCTCCCCGTCCCCACCTCTCTGGACAAGCTCCTGGCCAGCCATGCTGCTGGGCAGCCTCCTCTTCGCAGTGGCCACCGTGACAATGGCCCAGCACAAGGGCCAGAAAGTAAGAGGTTACCGCAGGACACACCGGGTCCAGCACGGCCAGTGCAGCTACACGTTCGTGCTGCCTGAGCTCGAGCCCTGCCCACCAGAGCCCGTGCCCTTTGGGGGCTCCAACAGCCTCCAGAGGGACTCGCCGGCCACAGGGCCGCACCTGGGCGGCTGGCGGAGCCAACGGGTGCGGCAGCTGGAGAAAGTTCTGGAGAACAACACCCAGTGGCTACAGAAGGTAAGACTGGGGGCCTGGGGGGCACGTTGGGGGGTGTGGCAATGGCGGGTCTGTCGTGAGCTGTTTGCTGGAGGAGTGTCCACCTCAAAGGTTTTCTCTAGGCACAGGCAGCCACGCCGATGGGACCCTTGTCCCTAAATGGCAGAAAGTAGGCGAGTGAGGCTCAGAGAGGTCCGGAACAGCCTGAGGTCACACAGCCAGGGAGAGCAGGGTCAGCACCTGGCTCCCTACCTGCCGGTCATTCATCCCTCCGGCAGAAATGGGTTGGTCACTGACCATGTTCTGGGCCCATCCTAGACACTGGGGACTTGGGGCAAGTAGGAGAGTCTGTGTCCTTACGGATGGACAGGGGAGACGGTGACCGGGGGTGACCAATGCATGTCCAATGGCATCAGAGGGCAAGGGGAGACCACAGGGTGGCTGTGGGAGGTCAGCTCATTTGAGATGACATCCCAGAGGTGGCGCTTGAACCGAGAGAAGAGGTGAGAGGATGGACCGAGCTCTTCTCGGGGGAGGAGACTTGCTGCCAACGGGACCAAAGTCTGAGAGTGGAGGGGCTTGTGGGCCCCTGCAAAGCTGTGGCTTTGGGAGTCCTTGGAGGCTTTCCCACCGGAAGCAATCCTCCTGGTTCGCTCGGAGCTGAGGAGGTTGTACGGTCAGGTGGGACTGAGCCCAGCGAGGAGGCTTGGAGCAGGGAGGGGGTGAGCGGGGAGATGTGGTCGGCCAGGTTCTGGCTCATGCTGGCGATGGGGCTCAGAGGGTCCGCTGGTGGAGTGGATGAAGTGGGGGAGAGGCAGAAGTTGAGGACACCCAGGTCCTCCATAGGCACTCCAATCCCCACGTTTGCATTTGCTCATTCTTTCCACACCTATCTGAGGACCTACTGTGTGGCGGCACCTGGGGTACAGGGGCAGGCCTGGCTTGCTGTGGCCGTGGGGGCAGCGAGCATGTGCTGAGATGCCCGTGATGGGCTGACCCCAGAAGTGTCGAAGTGTCAGAGGTACCTGGAGAGAGGGGGAGGCCAGGCCCTCAGGCACAGGGGCCACCTGGGTGTCGCAACTCAGACCAACTCACGGGGCTTGCGAACATTTGAGTGAACCAGTGGACGGTGCCTGGCTGGCTGGGAGAGGAGAGCATCCAGGATTACCCAGAATGCACTCTTCTTACCCCCATGGTTCCCAACGTTTGTAAACCATGTAAACCAGCACACAGGAAGGCGTTGCCCTGCGGACACTTGCATCCTTATTCAGTATTTACGTACATGAAACCTCAAACCAAAGCTACTGCCATCAAGTTGATTCTGACCCAAAGGATGCCCAGGACTGCAAACCTTTACAGACCGCACCCCCTTTCTTTCTCAGAGTAGCTGGTGGGTGGCAAACGCTGACCTTCCTGTTAACAAGCCGGCACCTAACTGGTGAAAACTTCAGAGAGATGATACACACAATCGTGCCCATTGACGTATGGAAGCTTCCTCCTGTACACAGTCTGGGTTTATCCATCCCCAAGGCGGAGAGATGACACCACGTGTATCCAACCAGCCTTCACTGGACCACACACTCATATATACACTCGTGTGCACGCACGCACTCGCCCGTGTGCACCCCCACGCAACTTTCTGTCCTCCTTCCTAGTCACCCTCAGTGCCATGGTCCCTTACACACTGACCCCTTCACCCACCTGCCAGGAGCAAGTCCCTAATGTCACCTGCCAACCACATCCCCTCCAGGAAGTCCTAACTACAAACCTATACTGGAGTCTAAGCTACCAGGGACTCCGTGTTGCCCTGAGGCCCATGTCTCTTCAGTTTCAAGCCTCTTTTGCCCTCCCTTTAAGCTTCCATCTCTACCTCCCCACCCACCCCATTCTCTCAGCAGACCATGGACACTCTGTTTCAATGAAGAGTAAGAGAAATAAAATCTTCCAATGGGCAGCTTCACCCCTGCAGATTCACACACGCACCTACCAGTCCCCGGGACTTTCTTCAATCTCTAAGGGAGGGAGGGGCTTTCTCCCTGAGCCAGGGCCACCCTCCTCCCTAGGCTGTGTCTCCACCCCCTCCTAGCCCCTCAGTCTCCTCCTAGCACCCACCTACTCCTGCGTCCCCAACCACTTCTCCCTCTCTGCTGGTCCTTTCCTCTCAGTGTTGAATAGCACCCAAGTCTGCTCCGTGCTGAAAAGAAAAAGAGGGGAAGGGAGAGGAGCCGGGGGAGACAGCCTCTTTTCTAGTCCACAGCCCGGGCTCTGACTCCTGGCCCAGAAGTGCTCATGTGCTGCCTGCACTTCCTCACTTCCATCCGCTCCTTGGCCCAGGACCACCCCCTCGTCCCAAATCTCAAGGCCACAACTTGGTCTTTGTTTCACCTGATGGACGTCTTGGCCATCTCGTGCTGCTATCACAGAATCGCCTTCCACAAGTGGACAGCTGACCACAGAAATAGAGTCCCGCTCAGTTTCAGCTACAATTTGGAATACAGCCAGCCAACCGCTGAAGGCTTTCTCTTTCTGTGAGCTTTGGAGAAACGTCCTGGTTTCATTGAGCCTCAACTCCTGCACCCTCGCCATGGGGTTTGGGGTTCTGTTCCCTGGCCTCTATGTCTTGCTTTGCTTGTTTCAGCTCTGTTATAGCTCAGAAGAGATGGACTCAAGGTCTACCCTACACTGACCCTGCACCACTAACACAACAAAGACGACCCTTTCTCCCAGCGGGATTCTAGCTGCAAGAATAGAGGTTAGGATTCCCAGCACTTATCTTGGGGAAGGTAATTCAATCCACAGCAATTGATCTCTCGGTGAATGTAATATCGGTGGCCAACATCATCCTTCCAGAAATGTTCTCCACCAGCAAATCCTTGTCTACAGAGCAATCCAACTACTCTCCCCATGCCTGTGTCCTTGGAGAAGGGCATCGTGCGTGGTAAAGGGCATGATGCTTGGTAAGGGGGCAGAGAAAGAGAGAAAGACCCTTGACAAGATGGACCGACACCGTGGCTGCACTGATGGGAGGGACAGCGCAGGACCGGGCAGGGTTCTGTTCTGTGGGACACAGGGTTGCTATGAGCGGACCCGGCTCCATGACATCTAACAGCAGCCACAGTCCTGGTCTAGCCACCGCCATCTCCCCTTGGGGTGGTTCTCACCGCACCTCCCTGGGCTCCCTGCCCGGTCTCTGAGCCCCATAGTCCATTCTCCAGTGGGCACCCGGAGGGTCAAAACCTCGGTGAGATCCCATCTCCTGGACTCAAAATCCTTCCCTGAGGTCCCGTCCCATTGGTAGAAAAGCCCAAGCCCTTCATCGCCGGAGCCGGAGCACTTCTTCCTCAGACGCCCGAGCCTCCCCGGCTCATCTCCCTCAGTCCAATGTCACCTCCCCAAGGGCCCCCCTGAGCGTGCTCCACAGGCACCCTCCGCCCTCTCCCCCAGCTGTGGTGTCTTTCTCAGCACGTGTCTCCAATGGTTCTCATCTGCACTCCTTCGTGCGCTGCTTCCTCTGCTCTGCGAATGTCAAGAGGGGGCAGCGACTGTCATTTTCTGGTCACTGTTGGATCTCTACAGCCCAGAGCAGTGGTTCTCCACCTTCCTCATGCCGCGACCCTTTCATACAGTTCCTCATGTATGGTGACCCCCCACCATAGAATTATTTTCGTTGCTACTTCATCACTGTCATTTTGCTACTATGATGAATCAGGCGACCCCTGTGTTGAATACCCCTGGCCTAGCGTAATGCCTGGCACGCAGTGGGCATTCCGCATGGTTGGTTGAATGGAGGGATGTTCTTTCAGTCTCTTGGGCCTACCTGCTGCTCTCCTCTCAGCCCAAATGGGGTTTCCCAGAACTGAGTCTGGATGCCCCCTCCCATACCTCATGGCAGACCCCGACAGCCCCGGCCTCAATGGTCCCTATCTCGAGGCTGCCCTGACCACCCCTAGAGCACACTCCTCTGCCTTGCTTCACGCTGGCACCAAACTGGTATCTGAAGGCCTCCTGAGTCCCAAACCCTCAGGGCTAGCCCCCCTTCACCCCTCAGAGGGGCCTGCCGGTAGCTTGAGGATCAGCTTGAATCAGTGGGCTGGTCTACAGCCCTAGGGGTCCCCTTCACCCCACCTAGGGGTCACAAGCAGCAAGGCCTGTCCATCGTGTGGCCTCGCTTCTTTTCTCTTCCCTAGCCCTGCCTCCCCAGTGCTGCCCTGGTTCAGGTCTCATCCCCTCCCTGACCACAGCCTCAGCCTGGCCCCTGGCATGCCCACCCCCAAATATCACCCTCTCAACTCTCGGAATCCTCCCGTGCCTGGTGCAGGAGAAACATTTTTGAACAGTGGATGGATTTGAACCAATGGTTTGGGGGTCCAAAGGTTACCCAGCACGGCTCTTCGGCCTGTGGTAGAATGTCTCTCCAGGGCTCTGTCCAGCCCCTAGTGTGGCCATGCTGGCAGGGCTCACTGCAGAGTCATGAGCTGGAGAGCACCACTCCGAAGAGGCTGGGTTCAAATCCTAGCCCTGCCGCATACTGGCCACGTGGCCATCCCTGTCTGCATAATGGAGATGGCTCATCTATACCACTCTCAACCTGCCACCTGGCGACAGGCATCATGGGATAGACAGCTCACCTAGCGGGCTTTGGGATAATCTTTTATCTTCTCTGTTGGGGGATCTCAATCTTGGCCCAGTCGGTGTTTCCCTGCCCAAGGATCGCGGGCATCACGGGAGCTGAAGATGTCACTGCTCAGGCTGGTATCCTCCTCCTTCCCACCCCATCTCGGGCATTTGCTGCTCCAGATCCTGGATCAGGGTCCCTGAGGATCAAGCACTTCCGGTCCCCTGGTGCTTGGGTCCCTGTCAGATCACCCTGTGCCCATGGAGCCTGTCACAAGATCATATCTGTTCCCCCCCCCCCAACCCCCCGCCCCCAAGTCATCCATCTCCTGGAAGGCAAAAGCCCACCATTGAGGTTCAAGTCCCAGCCAGTTCTGCCCCTTCCTCGATGTGCAAGGCAAGGCCAG